AATATCTGGTCCATTGATAAAAGATAACAACATAGGTGTCAATGAACCAGGTTTGAATTGAAACCAATCTAAATTAACAGGAATTTGAACAGATTGGACAATCTCTGGATTGGTCCAAAATGATCCAAAATATTCATTGGACTGGATTGGACCAGGTCTATTTGTTATCGACTCACATTGGACTGGAACTGATTGGACCATATCCAGTCCAATTGACACCCCTACAAATCGGGCAATGTTAGCTCAAAAAAGTTGGGTGTGGTTGGGTTAGGGTTGAAGTTTAGTTAAGGTTGGGTTAGTGTTGATCTCAATCAGACCTAACACAAGCCTGACTTGCATCTCTACTCAGGAGAACATTGCAAACTCATCAAAAGTATTTTTGGGCTTTTCACAATCAACCAAGCCCAACCCAACCTAGTGCTACATCATACTAACAGCGCACTTTGCAAAATTACAACATTGCATGCCATTTGTTTGTAGACATAAAAAATTTGGGTAAATTATAAATACACTCTGTACTATGATGGAATGCATTTTGGGACGAATACCCCAGGGCGTGTTAAGTTAGATGATGGAATGCATTAAATTACCAAAATATTCACCTGAACTTTTCTTATTTTCTTTTTCTTGCCCTTTTCTATTAAACCCTAATCCGATAATACCTCCATTTTCTCCAAAGGAAACTAGATAAAATAAAAAGAATAATTCCACTGACATAGAAAAACAAATATCTTTAAGTTTTTGTTTCATTTCACTGACATGAATGTCTCTCTTCATCTTAAAATAGATAAAGTTATGTACTCATTTCTCCGATAGACCAAGAAAAACCAAATAAGACGTTAACTTTATATCTATCAAAAAGAAACCTCTACCATTTCATCTGAATATTGAGTTCAGGCAGAAATCTGCAATGATCTATTAGAGCAACCAAGGACTTCAATATTATATTTAGAAAATTAATCAAATTATAAATTATTTAAATAAATTAAAAAAAAAACGTAATTTGAAAATTAAAAAATAAAAAATAAACTGCTGAAAGAGAATCTTTTTCAAAATTAACTGATATAACTCCAATGGAGGAGTATTTGTTGCAAACAAAGTTCAAGGGGGTAATTGTCACTAACCCCATAGTATGGAGGTCATTATAATTTACCCTAAAAATTTAAAATTTTCTAGAAGCCATTAAATGGATTTAGTTTTACAAGATGAGCATTCAAAGTTCAAATGGGCTTTCTCTGATCCAAGGCCTAAATCTGTAACGTCATGGCCATGGCCCCAATAGGTCCAAGTGCATAAAATTGGCCCATTTCTTATTTGTAGTAGGGTAGGTCTTACTACAGAACCATTAATTTCTCCAAAATAAGAGTGTCACGTAAACTAAACCTAATGCCTACTCATTCGAATTGGTAGTTGCTAAGTGGGGCATTCCGACACCTTTTGTTCCAATCAAAAATGTCAAAGAGTTATAGCCCACAACATTCACAACCTGCACAAATTTGCTTTAAGCCTCTGGAAGAAGAGAGAAGGCACTTCCTTTTCTCTACTTCACATCTAGACCAACTTTCCAAGGGAAATTAGTTTTCATCTTCATTTTAAATCAAACATGAAGCCCAAAATGAAGAAAAACTACATCAACACCTCAAGGTGTTTAAAAAAAACAAACCTTTAGTCTTCATCTTCACCCAGGTTTGTCATGTAATCGAATAGACCAAAGAGAATGGAAATCCTTATATATTCAATTTTGTAATTTTTCTTTTCGTGTTAGTTAAGTATATGACATCATGTGTCAATAAATTTCTTTTATAAACCAGTCAAACCCTTTAATCTTCTGAATCAAAAACAAAAACATAACAACTCATGGCTTTTCTTTTATCAAGTCCTTTGACACTACTAGTTTGATCCATGCAAGTACTCCAATGCTGGAACCAATTCTGCTATGTAAGTACTCCAATGCTGCTAGAACCAATTCTGCCATGTAGAACCAGAAATTTATCCAAACCATCTTTTTGTAAGAGAAAATTTTGATAAAAATCATATATTTACCTTTTTCTGCAAATATGTTATTTATTGCTTTCTACCTACTAGCATGTGTATGATATGTGTATGCATGCATAATTACATATCAACAGTTTTAATTTTGCAGCATAAGTATGACAATTATATTCATTTTTACATAATAATGCTAAAACTGAATTGGTGTCAAGCCTTGAATATAGGAAATAAGTATATATGACAAAAGAAAATAAGGTCAATCTAAACCCAATCCAAAAACTTAAGAGTTGAGTTTAGGGTTAGGTTGGGGGTTCAATAGCTTGGGTTGGGTTTGGGTTGATCTCAGCTCAATCTAATCCGGCCCAACTTGCACCCCTATTTGAGAGAACCTTCTTTAGTTGTTTGGTGGTGATGAGAATGAGACAATCGAACAATGAACAGATGGCTGCGTTTGAAAGAGGTATAAAACCTCATCGGTGTAAAACCTCGCAACCGGTTTAGTTTTATCGATGTTTGTTTAGAGTGTAAATCAAGGTCGATGTAAAACTCCACTCCAGTTCAGATTTGTAAGTGTTTAGATGGAGTAGAGTTTTACATCGTAAATCAATGTAAAATGTTACTTATGATGAGGTTTTATATCAATTGTCGATGTAAAAACTACATCAATAAGCACGTTTAACGGTTTACATTGTCAAACGGTTTGGTGTGAAACGTTACATCGATGACGTTTTACACCACTTCCAAGCACAGCCTTAATAAAAAAATGTATTTGCATAATTTTAAACGTCTAAATGGAGCAACATGAATAGGTTAAATTGGGTTGGAGATCATATACATATTAGCAATATGGATTTAGCGATGGTGTTGGTGGTTGATTGATGGGTTGGTTTTCAACCATCGTCCAACCCAATCCAACTGGAGAAGCATTTCCTTTGGGCTGTGGCCATGTTGCATGCGACCCCAATGAAATGCGATGCCTTAAATTTCTTATAAACAGATTGCTATCGAGGGGTCTCCAGATTGGTGGCAGGAAATGCAAGCTCAATCAAACCCATCCATTTCTCACCCCTAATTACAGTTTACAGATTTAAAATTTTAATTTATCTCCATATTTGTAATAATCCAACACAGGATTTATGTCAGCAGGGTTGGTTTATCTTGCAAATTGCTTTTTGCCTGTTCTACCCGTATTTAAGTTGCTAGTTATGACCAGTTCCAATACTTGAACAGAAGAGAGGGAGGAAGATCGTCAATGAACCATTCACCCAGATTTCACGCCACTAAAGTCTCAACAACACTCACTGACCTACTACCGGTCCAATATTCCTAGAGCCAAAGTTTTTAATGGCCAGCAGTGGCCGAACATGTCCAGACCCAGCTTTTCAGGCCTAATCGAAGAGACCTCAACATACCAATCTGAGTATCTGACAAAGAGCAGCCGACCCAGAATAGGGCCAGCCACCGACACAGCCTGACTCGACTCTCGTTGATGGTCCCATAAGGAAATGCACTACGGACCCAAGGCAGAGGCAGAGGCAGTTTCCACAAGTAAGCAAAATGGATCATAGTGCTATCTATCTGTTTTGGTGCATTCTTTTCCTTGGGGCATTGCCAAGGACAGGATTTTTGCTGCTCCACTTGAATGGACAAGACAGAACAATTATGGTACGACTCCTGTATTCACTTCTCAACTGGTTAGGGATGGAAGCAAACCCATTTGTCTTTTAGACCAAACTAGGAATCAAGCTGGAGCTGGACTCCACCCAGTGTTAGACGCCTCCTAAATCATTCAATCCAACTATCCAACTATCCAAGTGGTGGTGCCTTCTGACTTATCACTAGTGTGGTAAATGAGGGTGGTCCTCTGAACCACATGGACTAGAAGGTTGAGTCTGACTACTGAATGAACACCACCAAAGGACTACTTGCAATTGATCATTATTTGCTATCTTCACTTCTCCGGTGTGTTCACTTATATTGTGAAGTGTGAACATATTCAACTAGAGCTCCAAAATTGTCAAGCGTTCCAGACGTTGGACCCAGTAGCCATTCCTCCAAGATCCCAGAAGGATGTGGCTGGATTATTGGAGGCAAATAGAAATCCCTACTTAACCTTTTTCACTCTCGACCACTATCCCACCTGGAATTTTCAAATAAAGAAAGGCAAAGGAAACAAAATGAAATTATCAAACACTTGGAATTCGAAATCAGTCATGAATTACACATGGAACAATTTTCACTTTTCAGAACCAGATGGCATAAGTGCATAACACATTTTCGAGCTTAAACTTCTGATCCAAACACACCCCCTATAGGTCCAACATTTTATTTTCTTCAACAGTGATTCTGGTGATAACGGGTGGCCTTGGTATCACCACCAAACCCTTCTATTTAGACATCTAACAGTCTCCATCTACTAACTCGTCTACTTCTGGTGAAAAAGACCTATGAAAATCGGGGGGAAGGATTCCACTAGGGGTGATCATTTTCATCCCGACCCGGCCCACACCAACCAGTAATTATTTATATAAATTAAATATTACATATGTTTGTGTCATTTCATATTATTACTTATATTTAATATTGTGTATTTAAATATTATAATACGACACATATTATAATGTGTATTATATTACAGTATTAACATAAATTTTATACATATATTATTTGTTAATTATTGTATTTATAATATATTCATATTTAAAACCATAGGCCCAGGAGAAGGCCTGGCCCAACTCAGGCCCAGGTGGGCCAAGGCTTGGGCCATAGCCCTTATAACGGGTGCCAAGCCCACCAAGGGCCCGGCCCATGATCACCCCTTCCACAGAGCCCCCAAACTAATCAGTTTCTTCCACCCAAGTCAGCACTGAACTCTCTCCTGTTATGTACACCAGAAACTAATGACTTGTTTTTGCGTCTTTCCAGATTATGTTGGCAGGGCTTCAAGCAATTTGCCTTAAATTGTAAAAACATACTGTGTATGTAGAGTTCTGTGCAACAAGCACAAATAGAGAATCCCATTTGTAGATTTAAAATTTTTCCTCGTTACTTCCTCTTGTTTTCTTTTGAAATTTTGAGTAGCTTAAGCAAAAGCTACTTGGCTTTCAAGCACAAGTTTTTTGGCCAATTCTTGGCACTCTTGATTTAAATACAACTTGGGCAAATACAATATACAGAATAGCTTTGGCTGTAACGAGTTGAAACAAGCTCTCCTTTGTTCTGGGACAGTAAGGTTAATCAGCGATGGCTTATTATTCCTGTTACAGAGAGAGAGAGAGAGAGGCATAGATCAGGTTATACATTCCAATTGCCAAATAAAGGGTATTCACAAAAAAAGGAAAGAATGAATAGTTTGTTAAGTGACAGGATTTTGGTATTGATTCAGAGTCAGATAGAATCCTCGAAGGTTCACAAATCACAAATGCGGTTGTGCAGCGTTGAACTATTGGAAAGGAACTTTTCAATTAGGGGGTTTAGAGTATATGGTGTTTCACAAATTCAAATTGTAGGCCTATGTACAAATAACATTGGTTGGAATATTTCTCCTAGTCTACATATACAACAATCTCAGCAGTGGGCACCTGACATATACCCACCACTCCCAACCACCGAGTATCATGTACAACAATCCCAGATTTCTCAGACCCGGATTCTTTACAAGTCCTTTTGAGCTCAAAACTAGTAGAGAGATGTATCATCATCTAAGCTTTGCCCCAATTATATGCAGTCAGCTACATGAATCTGTTTCACAATTCCGTTATGTTTATTGTCATCCATTGTTAAATTATTTTTTTTTGCGATGACTGATTATGCAATTTTATTAAATCATTCATCTAAAAAAATTAACAATGGATGACAATAAACATAATGGAATTGCGAAACAGATTCATGGAACTGACCCCATAGTTGGGACAAAGCTTAGATGATGATACATCCATTGTTAATTATTAGCATTTAAATCATTTCTTAACCCATGTGTGCATGTGTATGTGTATCTCAGCTATCTGGGTATTGGAAGGGTGGACGGGTGGACTGGATACAGTTCAAACCTTTGGCATTTATGGCACATGTGGCTGCTCTCAGGATAGAGCAGCACGTGCTACACCCACGTGCTGACGTGTTCACAGAGCCTGAGCCTCAGAGAGAGATTCTTTTCCTGATAAGACCTGGATATCTTTTTTTTTTTGGTGTATCTGCCTACAAAGGAGCATAGGCAGATATGGTGGAATGTTAGTCAAGAAAAAAATATACTTTATGTCAAATCAGATTCATGTGCTACACCCATTATGACAGAGTCAGCAAGTGACTACAGTATAAGCCCACGTATTTCCATGTCATAATTCGTGGTAGCATCTTTTTGTTTCAGAGCATTTGAGGGTTCTCCATCAATTCACGGAAAACCATGGATGCTTCTGGGTTTTCTTGGGATCGTGAATATCAACAAAACTATCCATCCTTATCTAACAACTTCAAGTGAAATTGAAAACACACCTGTCTCCTCCTTCTGCTATGTATAATGTAGCATGAGCGGACCATGACATAGCATGGCAGCAGTAAGCCAGCCAACTGAAGAACAGAAACCTGAAAATAAAATTTATTCAATTTCAATACCACGTCTCCCATTTATAAATAAACAAATAGCACATAATGGCTTGTTTGTATTCTTGTTTCATGCTTGTTATGCATAGATAGCATGTCCTTTTGTAAAGCATTGATTCGAATACATTTGTCTGCATGATATACAAATTCAAAATCAATGTCTACCAATGACCAATACATGTTAAATCGCATATGCTGCATTAATGAAGTATGCAGTGAGCTAGTAGTACCATACTACTATAGATTCTAGAAAGGCATGCTTTTCTACATCAATCTCTCATCATGAAATACAAATGTCTGGATGACATCAATAACTTCATGGAAAACTTTGAGAAGTGGGGGGTCAAAAAAAATAATGAAATTTACTTGTCATCGTGTAGCTTTTTGAACAACTAAGGAGGAGGGCCAGTCTTGCAAGGCCAGAATTTACTTATTTAGAACATTTCTCACCAATATTTGCGTAATTGTATGCACATTTACATGGCCATGCACAATTGTGTACAAATAGCCTTAGTGTCAATGTCATAACATATGTAGTTATACATATACAGCATTTTCCGTATATGAAGCTGGTACATCTAAATGTATACACCTATATTAAATATTGTCAAAGCAGCAGTGGACTCACATTGAAGAAAGTTGACGTTTCCTGCAAAATCCCAGAGTCCCTTGTGATCATCAGAGTATTTCGAATAAGCAATATTAGCATCAACTGCAAAGATTAGCAAACCCACATTATCAAGCTCCCAGTGGTGCAAAAGCTTATAAGCATAAGAAAATATCATTTCTTTTTCTGAAAAGGTAAATACAAGTAATATTTTTTTTATGGCAGGAGTAATATGCTTACAATGAGAGCAATGGAACGGAAGAAGGCAACAGCTCCATTGTTTGCAGCAGCATATTCATCATATTGTGAACGGAGTAACTGATGCTCTGCAGCAGTTAGAGCTAGAAAATGTGGCTCGTGGAGATCATACTGTTGACCCCATGCTTGTCTAATTGAACTGGAAGTTAGAAAAAATGAAAAGGGAAAAGGTCAACTTCCTGAGAACAAATAGGGAATTGTGTCCATAAAAGTGCACAGATGGAAAAGCTAAGGCAATTTAAGAAGGCAGATGTCATGATCAAACTAAAGAAAAAGTACTTTAGCAATTATTTTCTATGATTAAACCACATACATTCAGGCTAAAATACATCACAAAAAAATGGGACTCACAATTCAATGGATCTCAATAATGAAGCCAAATAAGGGGAAAAAAAGAAAAAGAAATTGCTCAAAGCATTATTTCTTGTGAAAAGTTAGGAGCAGGTGGAGCTTCATGTAGGTCACAAACTTATGCAATGATTTTGAGGTTCCAGTACAGAGAATAACCATAGGGCATCATTCAAATACATAATGAAAGGCTAGGCACAGTCTAATTTTTTAGAATTCCCTATATAGTCTTTTGGGTTTGTTAGTCATTTTTCTACTTAATGATTTTTTACCATCCAAATGAACCAGCTGATGAAAATGGTTACCAATAAGCACCTTCCAATTTGGGGTCACTTTTTAGGAATATTTGTTGTTGCGTATTGCTCAGTATGGATGCCTACAATAACATCCAATATTTGCCCCAACTCATGTCCTCATTCAAAACAACATTTAGAGAAGCATTTCAGGCTCAGGGTTAAGACTCAAGCCTTGGTAGGATTTATTATCAAAGATCACATTCCACTATACATATCTGAATTCTAAAAGACAATAATATTGATCCAATCACTAACCTAGTAATCACTTCAGAAACTCATGGTTCTTGGCCTTGAACTAAATGAGAAATAAGTGACAACACTAAGTAAGAAATTTAGGCCATTCCCGCACCCCCAACCTTAAATTCAAGTAAGATCTTCAGAATTCTGCTATTTCATTTCCTAAAGGCCACCTCAAGGGGACATTCAGAGGAGAACAACTATAAAATTTTGGGATAAATTATATAGAAAACATAGAAAAAGGAAGGATAAAGTAGTAGAATCAATCAAAGACATGAAACATTGTAAAGGAAGGATAGAAGTGGCAAGAATTTAGAGTTTTTTCAACTTGGATCCGTTAAAAAATTTAAGCAAAATTTGAGTCCCAATTCAAACCCAGGACTTGAAATGTTGTCCTTCACTCATGCAAAAGCTAGATTGCTCTTTGAGTCTGTGCCAATGTGTAATAAAAAAAAAAAAAAACAATAATCTGTGGTCTGTGCCAACACTTTGACTTCCCAAGATCTTTTTTACCCCAAAAGCTTTTCAAGACTTTCTTTTTCTTATTATATTTATTGTCTTCTAAAATCACTTACATAATTTAAAAGTACTTCTATAAAATCTTGATAGTTACCTGCCAAAAATTTTAATATCAATTTACGGTTGCATTATCATGATGTGATATCTAGAAGTTGACAGTGCTGAAGTAACTTCAATAAATAGGAAAGCTATGTATGGTATTAGTAAGATGGAGGATAATAGGAAAAATTACCCAGATTCTCCTACAAATAATGATATCCATTTTTGTTATTTTCTGCCTAATACTCATCTAGCTTGTTAGTTTCTGATAAGCAACCAACACCATAATTGTAGGACACAATCTGATCTTTTAGTATAATGATAATATTTAATATCTTGGGCTGGCAAGAGGGAGAACACAGATTCAAGTCTGAGAATGTCCATTTCATGCTAACAATGCTGAGGGTTAGGTTCATATCCAGTTCACCCCTCCCAAGACACCAGATAGGTGGAACCAACTTTGGGTAATGGCCCTTTTAAAAAAGTAAAAACCTTATTATAAAAAATATAATAAGTGACAATGACAATTGTAAGAAAGATCCAGATTAGTAGTTTAAACTTTAAAATATGTGAAGTAGACTACAAAAAAACAAGGGAAAAAAAGTACACCTGCTAATTACCAGACTTTAAAAGGTCTTAAAAACTATTACAACATATAAAAAATGCACAGATAAAAGAAATGAGGCTAAGGAATAAAGAATCATCTAAAAGATACCTGATATCAATTGCCATGCCATCAGGATTGGTTCTGGTAGGTGGAAGAGAGTAATTAGGCGAAAAAACCTAATAAGCAAAGAAAAACACAAAGTTTATGCTTCAAAATGCATTCATATATGCTTTCATAGAAACATGTAATGACGGTACAAAAATAGCTGGAAAGTATAAAAAAAAAAATGAGACTATTATTGGGCAAGCCAAAAACAAACCTGATTGCAGATTTCGCAGGTAATATCACCTTTCTTGTTGCACCATTTCTGAATGCACTTCCTATGAGCAAACTGCGTACCAGAAAGAGGGAAAGAAGAGGTTGGTAGGAAATTGGCACAATTCCATAGGCTCAAAATATAAGATCTTTTTTTTTTATAAATATAAGATCCGAATGAGAGAAAAGAACAATAATGTAGATATAGACAATGCAGAACTCCAAAACATTAAATCACAAAACCAATATAGTGCTCAGAGTGGAGATGCTAAAAAACTACCACTAAAAACTAAGAAAGAAATTCAATTATAATATGAATCATAGATATGAGCCACTAAAGCTTAAAATGGTAGCGACCCATAGATGATAGAAAATAAAATAAAGCCTAAATGATATAATCAATGGACAAATGCACACACAATCCCTAATTTAAGTATAAAAGAAACTAAGAAATTATAACAAACCCAAAGCTTATCAATGTATACCAAAATTCTTCTCCGATGAGAAGTGCATTATGGAAATTCTTCAAGTTCTTCAGAAGTAGTTAAGAAAACCCAACATGCAAAACCATCCAATACAAAAATCACATTAAAAGTACACAAACCCCAATAGAACAAAGTCAGAAAACTCCAAATGTTAATTTTCAGAGCCCTGGGCGCGAAAAACTGCAAATCGAAGGCCCTAAAGCTAGAACAGTCGAAGTACATACAACAGAAAAAAAAAAAAAAAAGGAACAAAAACCCGGGGAGTAAATACTCGAGGTCATCCATGCAGAGATTAATATTCCAAGGGCATACCGATATGAACAAATTTGAAGGCAAAGGATTTAAAACTCAGACTCATAAACCAGAAAAAACAAGTCTCGAATATCTAAAAGAAGTCACCGTTTTATGAAATCCAGTGACCCATTGTTTCAAATGCAAAACCCAGAAGACCCAAAAAACAATAAATTAGAAAGGCAAAACCCAAAACCAGAAACCCCAAACCGAAACAAAAGAACTTCATCAGCACAAATTAACCAAAAAAATACAAAAACAAACTTTGGCGAAAAAACAACAAGAATTGAAACAATCCAGAAGAGAAAAAAGAGAACGAAAGAAAAACACAATCCAAAAGATATTAAGAGAAACCCAGAAAGGACAAGACCTTAAGAGTGCCACTACAACCGCAAGGAGCTTCCATTTCGTGCTCTTCGTCTTCCTCCTGACAAATCCTGCACTCAATCATCTCCCCCTTCTTCTCTTCTTTCTTCGAACAACCCTCTCCATTATTCTTCACAAAAACTCCATTATTTACAGAAACATTCTCCACGCCATCACCCCTCGCCGTCCTCTCATAACCTTCATTTACAGAATCAAAGCAAGTCGAAGCAATAATCCTATCAACACAGACCATGAAATCATCCACCATGTTGACCGTCTCTCTCTCTCTCTCTTTCCCCCTCCGAGCAACAACGGAAGAGAAAAACAGAGAAGGTGTGTGTTCAAAAGAAAACAAAATCAGTCCTTGATTCTCAGATAGTTCCCAGTATACACATTTAAATAATTAAATTACCCTCACAAAATCATCGAAAAGGCAAAATTACCGAATGCCAGGAAGGATTATTAACGGAAATTCAGGTAAAACTTACGTATAATTCCCAGAATACCCATAAAATTAAAATAAATCCCTGAAGCTTTGCACATTAATTATTCTCTCTAATAGGGTAATCATGTCAGTTCAAGACCAGAACTGATATTTTTGGAATCCAGGTTGTCTGTGTCTGGTTGAATCCCGAAAATGCCCCTATTCTCCGTAAAATATAGTTTAATTTTATCACACTTCTTTCCCTCGTTTATAATCTCGAGAAATGATTTGAGCACACCTCATTTTTTATTGGGGCACGTCCCTAATAATGGAACGGGGATTATTGACTTGCGTCTTGCATGTCTCTTAAAATTACCAAACAGCCCCTTAAATGGATGATCTTATCCATTATGCTAAAAAGTGGGACCCCTTTGATGGATCAGCTTGTGTGGCTCCACGTGTACAATTATAAATTCATGCAACTCCTCTACTGTAACGCGTTTTTCGGGCTGTCTCGGCGAGTCGGCGTGACTCGCACACTCAGAAAAAGATAAGTTGTTTCATTGTTTGTCTTCTTCTGATTAGCTGGATAAACTTCTATATCATCCGGTTCATGCTTGTTGAGGGAGGAACGAAGATTCCCGGGTAATTTGGATTAGATTTAGACCAGATACGGCTTGACCTGAACCGGTTCAGGAAAAGACAAGTGGGTTGACCATCTGACTACAGATCTAATTTGGGCTGACTTAGGTTTAATCCGTTTTAAAAACCCTTCCTGGAATCTAAACCATTTTCTTGGCTGGTTCGGTTCAACCATTTGGGTTAATGGATCCATTTGTGGTGTCATCAACATTAAAAAATTTTAAGCAATAAAAATAATACAAGAACCCGATAACCCACTGAATTGGTTAGATGGATCAATGGTTCAACCACCCGGTCAATAGGTTGTTGACCCAGTCAAGTGATTTTATAAAATAGGAGGTTGGAGGTTGATCCAAGCTGGTATAATGACCGGATCACTGGTCCAACCAAATAGGGCAACAAATGGATTGAATCATTCAAGTGGTACAGATGAGATGACTGATATGTTCACTCTTGATTGGGTGAGGTAGTTATCATGTTTACAGCAGATCCCAACCCCACCCCCTAAGTTGAGCATTTGTGAATGTTGAGGGGAGCCGGGAGTTGATGTAGTGAGAAATACTTCAAATTGAATACCAATATTGGACCCCATAGGTCCAACCACCGGTCCAATCAGAGTCTGACAGCAATAATTTGGGTTAAGATGTCATATCTGACCAACTTGAATGTTTTACCCACCAACAAACCCTAGTGACTTGCAAAACAGAAAAAACCTTAATCTGTGCATCAGTCAACATATTCAACAGTCTGAAAAGAATATATCAAACTTCATGGATTATCATTCAAAAGTGATGATTTGGTAAATAAGAGATAAGATTATGGATGAGAGTACGAGGGAAAAGGGAGTAAAGTAGGGTTAATCATGGACTGAATTTAGCACCTTTGACAAGGCTTATATGATGGACTGGGCTTAATTCAGGCCTATATATGAATTCAATTTTATTATAAAAATATTAAATATATTATATTCCATATGTGTGTAAAACTTATTTTGTGAATTATATAATATGTATTATAGGCATCATATTATAATATTCATATATGAAATATAAAACAATATATATATATATATATATATACATAAAATAATATTGGCCAAGCCGGGCTGAAAATGATCATCTTAGAATAAAGAATTAGGGATTAGGGGGTGGCTTTTATTTTACTTTAAGCAAATAAACCACTTCATTAACTAATAAGTAGCAGGGATATATAAAAAATAAGAGTCCAACTAAATCAGCATATTGAGGCATTGAGCTACTCTGTCTCTGCCCCATTCAAAATCTACTGATATGACAAAAGATAACCTGCTGAAATTTATGCATAAGAAAGAGAATATCATTCAAAAGCCCAACAGAGCATCTGATTCTGTAGTCAATATTTCATTTCTTCCATAAATATATATATATATGACATGAAACTCTGCTTCCAAATGGAATTTGCATTGGTTTTCCCACACCGTGCGCCCCACAGTACATCATCCCAACCGTCCACTGGGAATATCTCCCTATGACAGGAGATGTTTTAGAAGAACTGAGATTAACACCCCACACAGCATCCATGATATAGTGGGGAGATGTTCTCAATGCACGGTTAGGATGCATTGTAGGGAGTCAATCCAAACTTGGCACTGACTTGCCTGAAAAAAGAAAAAAAGAAAAAAAAAAGTATCATTATTATTGAAGAAGTCAACAAATTAAGAGGAGTGGGTTGGTTTGACAAACGGGTTTGTTATGGAGAAAAAAAAAAATGGAAGGGCATTGTCAACGGTATTACAAGGTGGATAGGGTGGATTCTGGAGAGGATAAGATAAGTAAGATGGTTTGGTTGCATTTATTAAAATATATGTAAGCCACTAAAAGCCAGGACAAGTTGGATAAGATATATTGGACATCTGAGGGTATGAATATGAGTGAAAGAGAAAGGGATGGAAGGAGAATTTTTTATAATTTTAAGGGATATAAATGGATCGGGTTAGGTGATAAACCGGTATTGGATTTTGGGTCAGGGTGGTGCTGTACCCCACATAACAAATGCAGAAGATGTTTCGTGGGGCACGTTCTGTGAGACGCCAATCTGAAGCCAGATAGAATTGGGTTTGGTATCCCATTTTTATTTAATCGGGTCGGGTTTTAAATCGAGCCAAGTCCTAATAGGCTCGACCCGTTGGCATCCTTTCTTATAATATCATCCCAATAGAAAATACACCTATGGATGCGTTAATAAAATGATGAGAGTCATAACTATTGGGAAGCAAAGAAACAACATCTGCATGTGAAGGCCATTAAATCCAAATTAATATAATTGTTTTGGAAGGTGTCAAGTTGAAGAACCCAACCAAACTCACGAAATCACGATACAACAACAACATCAGCTTAAATATATCCTCTTAGCTCTTACGCTAAAAAGTGGCAAATAGGGGCCGTTTAGTAACAGCTGAAGTGGCTGAATGGAGCGACTTATTGCTTTGTCTTTTGCTAATAAGTTTTTGAGGAGGTAGTGAACTCTTTTAATGACTGAAAGTGAAGTCAACTATTTAATCATTTTATTTATTAAAAAACAATACAACAAATTATTTCAGTTCAGCCATTTCAGTCATTATCAAAAGCCCATGCAAACTTTACACTGTTCAAGCTAAACCCAAACCCAACCCATCCCTACGAAGCGAGAGAGCAGCCTAGGCCGTCAACAAGGTCTCCTAGCATGACACGTTACTTCCCATAAACATCAACTCCTACAAAATTTTTTGCAATCGATACTTACCCTTATTTTAAGAGATCTTAAGAACATCTTTTTTTGAACAATTTAAATACATAAAAATGGTAAATTATGAAAAAAAACTAAAAAAATGAAAATGGAAGGTTCAAAGTATCCATACACCCCTTCCACTTTGGATATATCGAGGTGTATAGATATTCTAAATATTGGTCATGACTAATGTAATTAATTACAGAAATTATTGCAGAAAATAGGGGTAGTCTTCATATTATTCTTCCTCTAACCTTGGGATTCAAGGTGCATTATTGATTGTGTTGAATTATTGCTCTTTGAATTGTCTCAATAAGTTTGATTTTATAATTAGTTAGGGACCGATTTTTAAGAAAAAATGTTCATGCTTTCAAGACCTGTTTTTCAAAAAAAAAAAAAAAACAGTTCTGTCACGTAAGCAGTGAGCAATACTATGTTGTCTGTTTGGTAAGGTGATTTTCATCACTGTTTTTCATGTATGTGCTGACAAGTAAGCACCACATAGGATACACATCAATCAACCGTTGGGGGAAACGGTTCACTGATGCATGAAATGGTAGGTGTTTCATGCATCAATGGGGTCCAAATTTTTTAGGCATGCCCAATTTTTTAATAATCGGCTGAACCAAACAATGAGATATATAGGAGTTTGTTGAAACACCTATGTGGATCCGATGTGGCACCGTTTCTTTGAAAAACGGCCACGGTTCCAAACATCCCCTTAGCGAAGTGTTGCTTCTGTGAGATCGGCTTCAGTCAGGGCAAGCCCATGCTCAAACTGTGTCAACATCCTCTTGCAACTTTGCATCAGGAATTTTTTTTTTCCATAAAATAAAACACATAAGTATGAATATATTCTCAATGCAAGGCAGTAAAGGCTGTTCAAACAAGCATTGCCCTGACCGAAGCCAAACTCTACTTTTGCAACCATTGCTAACCGATAACAATCTTGTCTTAAAGGCTCAGTTTGGAAAGTGCACAAATGCAAATATATATAGTGCAAAACATGCACATATTTGTATTTATTTTGCACTGTATTTGTACACTTTCCAAACTGAGCCCAAGCTTCCTATTAGGACCAACGAGGGATCTTAGGAAGTAGAATTCCTATATCGAAAGSGAAAGCACCCTTACCTAGGCCAAGGAATCAGAAACCAACTCTGCTTGAGTCATCAGAGGCCTGCATTTGTTGAAAAAAGCAAGCAAACGTAGGCTTGAAAGCCAGAGTGCTCTAGCAGCAAGATTCAAAACTACTGCACACGCTAGCACAATAAGCAACGGCTTTGAATCGCTTGCTCGGCTGCGCGTTAGCGCCCCTGGCTTTCGCGCTTCCATTAGACTGATTCCTATGAAAGGCAAGACCAGAAAAATTGTGTGAAATAAGTGAATTTATCCAGTTGAAGCATTCTTGATTGAGAAAAAATGATTCCCTCCAGACAGAAAGCCTGTACGAGTAGTGAAGAACTAAACGAGAGCTGTGGTTGGTTGTTGACCAACGGAAAGCATGGGAGAAAGAAAKATGCACAAATAAGGGCGGCTTGCGATATGAAGCCGCCTGGGGTCGTTGCCGCGTTCAAACAAGACCAACGTTAAATCTAGATTTTTCTCCGATTTTTTAAAAAGAAAATCGAGAAAACTACTTTAAATGACTTCTATTTGATGTGAAACATATATCAAAATTCATCTAAAATCAAAGAAATTTATGAGCAACCAAACGCTTTAACTTTAGATACCAAGTTGCTTTATTAGGTATGTTTGATGGTAAATTAAGATTTAAGTGGAAGAAGATGAAGAGAAGAGAAAAGAAAAGGAGAAAATGGACAAGAAGAGGAAATGAGAGGAAAAGAATAGGGTTATGAACTTATGAGAGACCAAATCCCCTTAAAAGATGTTTGTTCCTTAGGTTGTGTTTAATTGCGATGTAAAGGCAAATCAATATGTATTCTTTATAAATACCTACTTTCTCGTTCAAAAATGCAAAGTCTAACCCATTTTTTTGTTTGAAATTGGTGCAAAACATGGGCCAATGGGCCCCATCATTAAATGCCTTAAATTTTTGGTCAAGTACACCCATTATCAAAGAGCACAAGTTTGTTTTCAAATTAAAAATGGGTACAATAATGTGACTATATATTTGTATTTGCACTATACATAATTCTTTTCAAACCTAATTTATATATGCATTTTATATTTTAAATCTTATATTTATGCTGTACATTTTTTAGTTGTATTCTTCCCAAAACCTTTTTTTATATTAAGCTCAGTTTTTTTATTGGTGAAAAATTAAGCTCAGTTTGAGAAGAGTAAATATACAAATATATACAATGCAAAATCTTATATTTTATATTATTTTGTAATTTTCAACATTGTATTTGCACTCTTCCCAAATTGAACTTTTGAGAAGAAAGCAAATACAAATATGTGTAGTGCAAAAATAAAAGATAAGAGAAACTTATAGTATTATCCTTCAGGCATTATACAAGACATAACCACCATAAATACATAGGAAAATCCAATAATATATCCCTGGATATATGGCATCTAATATCCATGATATAACCATCATTAATTTTTGTCTTCGACCCTGTCCTAATCCTTGAAACGCTGCAAACAGATTGAACCGGATTGAATAGGTACATCCAAATTTGATTTATCTATGTGCAAATTCAAATAGAATCTTATCTATATCTATATCTGATATGTTTATGTTGGATTTGTTAATTTGATCGCAATTGGATATTGAATGTTGATGGGAGGTGTGTGGTGGAGGTGAGTTGTAAGAATTGGTATTGGTGCTTTTCCATGGTGAAGGATCTTCGCTTATTGCCGAGTAATGCTTCTTGGAGTTGATTTGCAACTTTGTTTCAATCAATGCATCACGGTGGTTGAATATCATGTATCTCTTTCGTGAATTTAAAGGAATGGGTTTGGCTACATTTCTAATATTCTCTCACACTTTAAGACAAGTAAACCGAGTCCGAATCTGCTTTTCACAGAGTATGTCTCACATGGACCTCACACCCCCATCTCATCGTGTATTGGAAACATCTTCTAAACCATATTCTAAATTTCTTGGCTAATAAAAGTATTGATTACCACCAACTGTACCAATTAGAAGAAGTGATTTGTTACTAATTGAAGGAGTTAGAAGAGATCAAGGTAGACCAAGAAGGAAATGGGTAGAATAGGTATATGTTTAGTTTGGTGGGTGTTTATGGATGAGCTGTTTCTTTTTATTTTCTCACTTTAGATGTTTCCTGTTTTTATTGTTTGGTTGAGTATCACTTTAAACTTTTTTTTTACTTTCCACTTCAGATTAATACCCATTAAAGTGTGTCACATCACCATTTGATTTCAAGAAATGTTGGGGCATTGGAGGAAATAAGAATTTAACATTTTCCCAAATGCCTCCTGCACAAAAATCAAATCATTTCAGTTTTCTATCATTTATTTGGCAAACAGTGAAACCAAACAGTTGTTTCATATTGTTTTGCATGCAATAAATGCCAACACTTATGTGGTGTTGATGTGGTAACATTTTTTCAATAAACACCCATAAAACAAAAATCGTCGTAATAAGAAATGATTCAATTACATAATTTAATCATAGATGTGACTTTAAATAGAACGGATTAACGAAATAGGATTCATGTATCCGACCCCATATGGTTGGAATAAGGCATAGATGGTGATGAATAGAGGTATTGTCTTCTTATTTTTCAGGATTGGGCTGAGAGGGTGAGGTTGTGTGTTTTGTATTCGGGTTTACTCTTCCTCCCTTTTGATAATGGTTAATTAATAAATTTAAAGTGGATGCCCCTCCGAGTAAACCTATGGGTCCTCAAAAAATATTAAATGAACTAAAAATAATTTTGATATCATATTTTATGAACAAAATTATTTGAAAATTACTTACATAAAACTTTAAGCTTTGAAATTTTAGTAAAAGTACAACATTCAAATCAATTTAGTAATAGATACAATAAATTTTAGGCATTTATATTAAATCAAATTGAATTGAATTATATGAGCAAGAGGCAGGACAAATCAAGGAAAACCTCAACCCAAAATGTGAATGAAACCATGCTGGCCAGCAAGAGGCAGCGCAGGGAAAATTTGGAGATCCTAGATGGGGTTGGAATTTCAAGCCCCGCTGAAATATTTAAACTATTATTTCAGTTCACATGCTTTATAAACGCATATACTAAAAAAATGCTTTAGCCCGTCGGTATTTGTGTTGATATTAATGGCTCACAATAAAAGGTTGAAAAACTTGAAATGGTCACAGCTTTGTAAACACAGATTTCATTAAAAGCTTCCAAAATTGGATTATATGCCCATTTTATCTCTCTCACTGTTTCCTGATGATCAAAAAATAAAATAAAATATTCCACAGTTTCTCTGCTTCTAAAGAGAGTTTGAATCTAGTATCAATTAAAGTTCAAAATTTCGATACGATACACTCCATATCGGACATATCATATTGCATTGATGGCTTCACGATACACCTATTTACAAGAGTTTCGGGAGCCTCCTCTGTTTAATGAAAAATATGATTAAAAATAGGCCAAAAAACTCAATTTAAAAAAAAAAAAACATACAAGCATATCATTTTAAGTACCGATACACAGGGGTGTATTAATATTTTAAATTTGGTCCAAACAAATGTCTTAATCAACCATTGCAATTGCAATTGTGCATTGGAACATTTCCCTTGTCCTTCATGGCAAGATATATCCAATAAAAGTGACAACGTTACAAGTTTCTGAATTTCCATCAGGAAAGAAAAAAAGTAGAAGCTTATGATCTGCATATTCAAAATGTTCCTTGAATCTTAACTGGAATCTACCGATATGCTGAGATGTTCAGATCCAATCTTAGAAGGAAATACCACCTTAGCAACAATATTCTTGCGAAGCTTGTTGTCAGCTGGGATCAGATCCCAGAAATAAATATATTTGCTCAATGAATCATTGAATTGTTGGGCCTAGGAAATAAACCTGAAGCCATACCACAGGGAGGCTCTTTACGAAACTAATAAATCTGTATTAATAATTGTAATAGACAACTGATAAGAAAACAACATAAGCTCACCAGCTGGGTTCAAAGAAAAGTCGGCCTTTTCTCACTCCACATGGTCACGAAAACGGATGATTTTGTTGATGAAAGGTCTCTCATTGCGATATCTATTTGGAAAAATACACAATCAAGAGACATTTCATTAGCTTCAAACCTAGAGTAGTTCAAAAGCACCACAGAAATGCAATGGGAAGATTTATATCAGCTAGTACTGCAGCGGCAACAAACTGGTTTGTTTGTAGGAGTGAAAAACAATACTATAATATGAAAAAGTAGTTACCCTGAAATAAAAACAATTTTAAATTTGAACTGTAAGTACAATAGAGTACATACATAATTATGGCAGATATGCAGAAGCATGTCAGTCCAACGGTGAAGTGAATGAACAAGGTTGGCCAGAAGTTTTCTGGATCTAGGAATATTCTCTTAGAAATGAAAGTGATGACACCTGAAAGAAGTAAAACTACCCAACCAGAAGGAAAGCAAGAGTGGAAAGAAAATGAAGAATCCTGTTCAGGGACAAAATAGGTATAACATGAGAGCTAATATAAGATCCAAATCATGTAGCAGTTGCTTGTTTACTGTCAAAGGAATTATAGAAATGCAAGCAAAATTAGAGATTAGATAGCATGGAAAAGTGATTTTTTTTCCTTTTTTTGAACTGGTAAAGGTAAAAATTTTTGAAGTAACAGTCATCCCCTTACCTGGAAATGACGCTTAATAAATACTGCAGAGTACATAATCCTCATTATCATATCTTTAGTGACAGTCAAGAAAAAAGGCCATGAGAATCATCCAATCAAAGTATTAATTGGGGCCAGTGCATCCCATTGAGCAAGTGAAGTGTCTAAAGTAACAACTATATGTACTTTGAATAGAATAAAAGCAAATTGAAGACCAAAACAACCAATTCATAAATCATCAGCATTGTTTGGGAAAAGCCAAATAACAAGTTCTACACCACCATTCATTTTTTTTTCAATCAAGAACAGAATTTAATTTCATTAATACAATAAATAAATAAAACTTATACAACAGACTATACAGCTTTCAGCTCCCACAGAGCCTATCCCCTGACCCCATCAAACAAGCAATGATACCCAAAATATCTACTCCCTAGAAACCCCTTGTTTAGCTAGAGAATTGGCCAAACCTGAACTACCCATCTGAGAGAGGCCTCTACCTCTCTTACTGTCTGATTGCTCTCAAAACTTGCCTGTATGTCCAAATCCTTCAGTTGTTATTATTTATCCACCCCACAACCAGCATGGAATCACCTTCAACCTCCACGTCCCTGAGGTTTAGCTGCTTAGCTAGTCTTAGGCCTTACAATAATTCTAAGTTTTCTGCTTAAGAAAGTCTCCATAACCAATTGGACCTGAAAAACAGACCACAGTTGTTCCATTATCGATCCCTAAAAGACTCCCCCTATACCTAAAGATCTTGGAGTTCCAACTGAACTTTCCATCAAAGTTATTTTTTAATCAGGACCATATCCAGTCTACCCCTCCCAAGACCCCAGATAGCTGGGACCAACATTGGGTAGTAGGTATTTTCTTACTACGTCTGCAATGAAAAGCATGGAGTTCGAAGGACAAGAAGGGTTCTCACCTGCCGGTAAGTGGAGAGAAGATCTGAGAATAGAAAATAAAGAAATGCTGCTGGAGGAGATATTCTACCAGGACTTTACAATCAAGATTAGAGAAGGAAAGAGAGGAACGGTTTTGTTAGTGGGAGATGCTGTTCCTTGGTTTCTAGGTTTTTTAAATGGAGCTGCCCAAGTGAACTGGAGTGAAGTGTGGAAAGGTACACTAAGGCAGGTCAGGAGAGAATACGTAGCTGAGAGAAGAAAGAACAAAGGATGGTTTGTTACTCTGGAAGAAAAGTTCGACAAAAGGAAAAGGCAAACAATAATTATCCCTGTAGGTGCTCGGCAGCAGGGATGGTTAGTGGTGGCTAATGCTATACACAGGAGATTAGTCAGCAAGGAATCAGGGACCGTGAAGGTACAGGCAGAGAAAGTAGTTGGTGGACAGAATAAGAAAGAAGAGATGACAGAAAGAAGAAAGAGACTGGAGAGGTTGGGCTTAGAAGACACAGTGGAAAACCAAGGGAAGCCAACAGTGGCATTACAATACCAGACCAAGGGGCAGTTCGATTCAGGTCCAAGTTTGAGTTTCTCACTACACATTCTGACCCGACTGGCTCAGTTCCGGGTCGGTTTGTTCATAATGAGATAAGGGCCCACAGCACTTCTTCGGATTCATGTGACCACTTAAGTGGTCACGTGAGTCGATTTTATAAGCAGCCGCTGATAGACAATTCCAAGTGTCTATCTTCTTCCTCACAAGATTCGACTGTTGGGGACTGACAATCTCTTTCAGCCAGCCAGAGTTCATCGAAGAAGACTCTGAGCTGGATTCCAGTGACAAAACATAGAGAAGACGACCGGGATGGGACGGAGGGAGATAGGCCAAATCCAAGATATTCCAGGGGGTGTAGGGAAGACGGTGAAGATGAGGACGGTGGTTGGGTCAGTTGTGGTAGCTCAGAGGAGATGTCAAACTCAGACGATGAAGCGGAATTTCAGTGTGACGAATGTCAAGGAGAGTTGGAAGACACCTTAAACACTGATATACTATACTCAAAGCTTGCAGCAAAGGATCCTTTACTGCATAAAATCTCCACTGGGTGCGGAGAGATGAATGTTGCCGAGTGTGCTTTGAAAGACAAGGAGGAAAATCGAATACCAAGTAAGGAAGAATCAATCCAGGAAAGTAACTTAAGACAAGGGACTTACAAGAGAAATTCGGTTGCTCACCAAAATTCGAGCAGAGATGGCACAGGCGGGGATAAACGACAGAGCCTCGGAAGGACTAACCCTTTCGATTGTCTCTTCTCCTATTCCTTCAGACCCAGGTATGGCTGTGGTTTCGGTTTTAGATACTAATGTCTGCTCTGCCTGTGATGTCAGTCTTTCAGATTCCAGTCCTGCCCCTGTACTGAATACCCAAGGATTAGAGGCTGACAATGAGGAGGGTGGGGAGTTACAGGAGGGGGGTAAGAAGGTGGTGAGGGTGGGTAAAGCAGATTCAAGTGAATTAGCTAGGGGGGAATCTAAGGAGGGCAGTGGTAAGTTGGAGAAGGAGAAGGAGGGGAAAAGGAGGAGTGAGGTGTGGGGGGGGAAGAAAGATAAGGGAGAGGAAGAAGAGGAGTCATTAGCTGAATTTGTAGGAAAGTTAGGTTGCAAGGTGAAAGATCTGAATGAGCTGAAAGGGTATTTACGGTCTGAAAAATATGGCGGGAATAGGAGGAAGAGAAGGTTAGGTGAAGCTGAGACACTGAAGTTGGAAGTGGATGAGGGCAAAGAGGCTAGAGTAAGGAAAGGGAGGGGAAGAAAAGGAGGCTATTAGAAGGAAAGGGAGTGGGGGTAAGCAGAGGTGTTGAGGAAATGAAGATTGTAAGCTGGAATGTGAGAGGGTTGGGGGTGCAAGGAAAAGAGCTTTAATAAAGGAGGTCTTAAAGAAAGAAAACCTAGACATTGTTCTAATTCAGGAATCTAAACTCATGTCATTTGATAAGAGATGGGCTAGGAGTGTGTGGAGAGTGAACGGACTAAGCTGGGTTATGAGCCCTTCTTGGGGCTCATCTGGAGGGCTAATTACTTTGTGGAAGGATGAAGTAGTGGAGGGAGTGGAAGAGTTAATGGAAAGGTTCTCAATTTCTGTCAAATTTAAACAGGTGTTAGATGGGTTTGAATGGATCCTCACCAATGTTTATGGCCTCAGTGGTTACAAACAAAGGAAGGAGTTGTGGGAGGAATTGGAAGATATTAGAGGTCTATGGGAGGGGCCATGGTGTGTAGGAGGGGATTTCAATGTGACTAGGTTCACCGAAGAAGGTAACAAGGTGAGGCAAAGGAGCACTACCAGCATGAGGAAGTTCAATGATTTCATTAATGCTTTTGAGTTAAAGGAATTGAACCTTCTTCATAATAGCTTTACTTGGTATAATCTCCAAGCCGAACCTATCTGTTCCAAATTAGATAGGTATCACCACAGACTGGGAGGAGCATTGGGGAGATTTGGTGTCAAGGGCCTTACCTAGAGTTACTTCTGATCATTGGCCTATAACGATATGTAAGTCYGRTCTTGGTGGHWGTGGGCCTTCTCCCTTCAAGTTTGAAAATATGTGGTTACTTCACCCGGACTTCAAAGACAAAGTGAAAATTTGGTGGAATGAAAGTAACACGGCAATCAATTGGGCTGGGATGAAATTCCATTGGAAGCTAAAAGAGATGAAAGTCAAAATTAAGGAATGAAATACTCTACATTTTGGGAGGATAGAAGAGAGGAAGCAGCAGTTGATAAGCCAGATAGAAGAGTTAGATGCGAAGGAAGAAAGTGGATGTTTTGGGGATCGGGATAAAGAACTGAGKTGGGAGTTAAGGAAGAGTTTGGAGGACACAATTTTCAAAGAAGTAAGTTGGAGGCAGAAATCTAGACACAAATGGGTGAAGGAAGGAGATAGGACAGTCTTAACTCAACAGCAAGAGATTGTTGGGGCTTTTGCGGAACACTTTAAATCCATTTTCGGAAAGCCTCTACAGGAGAGATTAAGGATTGAAGGGTTAGATTGGCCTAAGCTCCCTGATGAGTTGAGGTTGTGGCTGGAAAGAGAGTTTGACTTAGAAGAAATCAGGGATGTCATTTTCTCCATGGATAGATCTAAAGCCCCGGGCCCTGATGGTTTCACGATGGCCTTCTATCAAGATTGCTGGGAGATAATTAAGGCTGATATTCAAGCAGTGTTCTCAGAATTCTTTGGAAGAGGTGTGATAAACSCAGGCCTGAATTCTACTTTTATTGCTTTAATTCCGAAGAAGGTTGGGGCTTGTCACCCTAAAGAGTTCAGACCCATCAATCTGGTTAACAGCCTCTACAAGATCATTGCTAAGGTGTTATCCAGAAGAATTGGAGTGGTGCTCCCCTCAATTATCTCCCATAATCAAGGTGCCTTTGTGATGAGTAGGCAAATTGTGGACCAAATCTTAATTGMAAATGAGAGTGTGGAGGATTACAAAAGTAGAGGGGAGAAAGGGTTGGTGTGTAAGCTGAATTTGGAGAAGGCATATGATTTGGTTGATTGGTCTTTGTTGATGGAAGTTTTAGAGTCTTTTGGGTTTGGACAAAGGTGGTGCAAGTGGATAAAAGGGTGCATTAGAACTTGCCATTATTCTGTGTTAGTAAACGGCAAAATGGTGGATCACTTTCCAGCTGTCCAGGGTATTAGGCAAGGGGACCCTCTCTCCTCGTTCCTCTTTACCCTAATTGCTGAAGTGTTAGGGAGGCTTATTGAGAGGGCAGACTCCAAAAATCTGATTAGTGGTTGGAGAGTGGGGAGGGATAGGGTTCCGGTCAYTMACCTACAATTTGCARATGACACAATTCTGTTTTGTGATGGCAAGGAGATTAGTGGGGTGAGCAATCTAAAGATGGTGATTAAAGTGTTTGAACTAATGACTAACCTCAAAGTAAACCTTGATAAGAGTTGTGTGATTGGTATTAATATGAGTAAACGAGAGGTGGAGGAAAGGGTCCGAGCGATAGGTTGTGAGACAGTTCATTGGCCACTGAAGTATTTAGGGCTTCCTTTAGGGGATAATCCTAGAAAAATGAGTTTTTGGAATCCGGTGATTGATAGGTTCACTAAAAGGCTAGCTTCTTGGAAGAAGAATTACTTGTCTTTGGGGGTAGG